TCTTATTCAGCCTCTGCCAGCTTCACCCAGGATGGGTATTGTGTGAAGGGCCTCTCGGCTCTCTAACTGGCTATAATTAGAGCATACAAATAAGAGATTCATAAAGAGAAAAGATGCACAACACTCATATACACTCCTTAGCTGTTCATTGTTTGGTTTGGAATACGGATGCCTGAACATTTTTTTTTGTTAGCTGAGTAATTTGAAGGCATCTCAAAACAGCTAGGTTCTTCCAATTTCCAGCAAACAAGGGTGGGGAGTGCATAGGTTCCGTTATGTATTTCCTTCCCTGCATTAGCTAACTTTTGGAAACCTTTTAACCTTGCAAGACTAGCATATGCTCAATCAATCCTCCCAGTCACTTACTTAGGCCTTGTCTACACTAAAAGGAAGATCACTGCTGCCCACGATCAATCTTCCAGAGTTCAGTTTAGCATGTCTACTTAAGACCTACTAAATTGAACTCGGTGGGTGCCTTTGCGAGGAGTAAGGGAACCCAATGGGAGCATTTTCTCCATCAGCCTCCCACTGTGGGGACACCACCGAGTTCAGCTTAAGGTAAGCAGAGTCCAGCTACATAGCTGGAGTTGCATACTTTAAGCTGAGCTGCTGGGTTTAGTTTAGACCTGGCCTAAGTGCCACTAAACACACCTCTTTGCCCATTCGCTTCCCCACAAAGTCTGAGGGTATGTCTAAACTACATGGCTTCGTCGACGGAGCCATGTAGATTTGTTTGTTCGGCAAAGGGAAATGAAGCCGTGATTTAAATAATCGCGGCTTCATATAAATTTAAATGGCTGCCGCGCTGAGCCGACAAACAGCTGATCAGCTGTTTGTCGGCTCAGCGCGGCAGCCATTTAAATTTATATGAAGCCGCGATTATTTAAATCACGGCTTCATTTCCCTTTGCCGAACAAACAAATCTACATGGCTCCGTCGACGAAGCCATGTAGTTTAGACATACCCTCAGACTTTGTTTAAAACAAGCCATATGGAACTGCCCTGCAGACGGGTCTATGATTGTAGGCAGCCTCTTGTTGGGAGACGGTTCCTTCCAATTCCAGTATTCCCTGGCTTTCTGAGCCTTTGCCCCACTCTGGCTAAACAACTGTTTGCTCCTGTCTAGTACAGGTGGAGCTATCAGGGTGTGTCTAAACAACATGGCTCCATCGATGGAGCCATGTTGTTTAGACACACCCTGATAGCTCCACCTGTACTAGACAGGAGCAAACAGTTGTTTAGCCAGAGTGGGGCAAAGGCTCAGAAAGCCAGGGAATACTGGAATTGGAAGGAACCGTCTCCCAACAAGAGGCTGCCTACAATCATAGACCCGTCTGCAGGGCAGTTCCATATGGCTTGGTTGAAAAGAGAGGCGTGTGGCCACTGGCCGGTGCCCAAGCTGCTGATTGCAAGTTAGTGTGTTTTTGAAACAAGGGACAGATTCTGCTCATTCACCTCAGCATTTACAGCTGTAACTCCGCTGGCTTAGTCATGCTTCATTTACCCTGCGTAAACGACAGTAGGTCATGCTCCACAGGCCAGCGCATTAAATATATTTTGCTGCCCTAGGACATAGCTAGTCTCCAGTAGGATAGCAGATGAGGCGATTTTAAAAATTCCACTAGATGCCTAGCTGCATCTTTAGGCACCTAAATACCTTTGAAAGTCTGGCCCTTGGTGACTATAGTGAACCACATTCTAGTGTGAAGAGGCACTTTTATTAGAGGCATGATTTCCAAAGGAGCAGTTGCAACTCCCCTACAGGTCATAGAATCATAGAATAACAGGACTGGAAGGGATCTTGAGAGGCCACCGAGTCCAGCCCCCTGTCCTCAAGGCAGGACCAAGCTCCGTCTACACCATCCCTGACAGATGTCTATCTAACCTGTTCTTAAATATCTCCAGAGAGGGAGATTCCACCACCTCCCTTGGCAATTTATTCCAATATTTGACCACCCTGACAGTTAGGAATTTTTTCCTAATGTCCAAACTAAACCTCCCCTGCTGCACTTTAAGCCCATTACTCCTTGTCCTGTCCTCAGAAACCAAGAGGAACAACTTTTCTCCTTCCTCCTTGTGACACCCTTTTAGATATTTGAAAACCGCTATCATGTCCCCCCTTAATCTTCTTTTTTCCAAACTAAACAAGCCCAGTTCATGAAGCCTGGTTTCATAGGTCATGTTCTCTAGATCTTTAATCATTCTTGTCGCTCTTCTCTGTACCCTTTCCAATTTCTCCACATCTTTCTTGAAATGTGGCGCCCAGAACTGGACACAGTACTCCAGCTGAGGCCTAACTAGTGCAGAGTAGAGCGGCAGAATGACTTCACGAGTTTTGCTTACAACACACCTGTTGATACAACCTAGAATCATATTTGCTTTTTTTGCAACAGCATCACACTGTTGACTCATATTCAACTTGTGGTCCACTATGACCCCTAGATCCCTAGGTCAGTGAGCAGCAGTGAGTACTGTGCACCTCTGAAAAGCAGGACTCTTTGTTAGATGCTTGAATATGGATTTAGACATCCAAGTTTAAAATTCTAAGCCTAAGTCTCGTTCTCTGATGGTGGCCAGTTAGTCTCACAGCTTAGTCTTTGTGGAAAGGCCCTAGACTGCACACAGATTGAAGAAGGCCACTTTGTGCACACATATAGTTCTTGTGGTGTTCCTCATAGAGTAGGTCTGATTAATCTACGTTCCAGGCTGAATGGCAGCCCTGACATTACACCTTAGTGGTACAGGGTGTCCCCACTCTACGACCAAGATATGTTCCAAAAAACGTGGACATGTAGCGAAACGACATAAAGCAGGCATTTTTTTTTCCTGCAGCAGACTTCCTTTTGTGCTAATTGGTCTTTTGGGGGGGAGGGGTGCAATGTAGAAGCAGGGAACAGGAGGACTTAAAACACAACAGTTCCTACAAGCGTCAACAACTTTAGTGTGAGGTGACATATGCCAGGACAACGGATAGCCCGGGAGCCCTGCATGGCAGCTGCAGGCTACTGGTGGACTTCGGGTCAATGAGCAAACATCCAGAGTTACTATGTAAGTAATCATTTGGCAACTTTGACTTCTCCTCTTCTCTCCCTCCCAGGGAGTCTAAGTCTGGTCTGCTTGAGGAGAAAGGAGTGGCCTGAAATCTCTACAGCACTACATGCTGCATCCCCAGCCCCCAGGCAGGGTTGAGGGGGAGAGCATGGCTCAGAAAGCAGTCTTACAGTTGTCTTTCCAAGCTCCTGTGCCGAGGACATCCTTCCCTAGCTGGATGCAGAAATTCAGATCCCCTTCTTTATGCCACTAGCCTAGCAGGAGCAGCCTAGCCTAGTCTCATGCAAGGAGACTCAATTCCCCACTCCAATCAGATCTGCTGCCTAGATACGAGTCATCACTATACAGTTAAAGTCTTTCTTTTATGATAACTCTATTTAATATAATTAGAAATGGAGCACAAAACCACCAGGCAAGCGTAGGGTCCAAGGTAGGTGTGTGTGTTTCACATGGAAATGCAGACCATGGACTCTCCACATGGCCCCAGCGGGTCAAAGCTAAACTACTTTTATTTTGCTTGTCCTTTCATAATAAAAAAAGCAGTAAGGAGCAGGTTGCTGTGCAGCTGATGCTTGCTCAGCAGTTGGCTCTCAGAAACCCTGAGGCTTCTTTGTAAAACCAGCGGCATTGACACTTCTCTCCAAAATGAACATCTGTGCCATTTGAACAATTCTGGTAGCAGCGTTAGAAACCCAGAAATGGAAATATCCTTCGAGGTGCGCAGGGCAAGGGAAAGTGCCTGGAGTGGCAGGGCCTAGAACTACTATAATTATCCAGACACTAAAGGAGGATTGGAGCCCTGCTAATAGACCCAAAACATAATGAATATGAATTCACATGTAAAATGTAAACCTGCTATTAAATCGTCAGCTGCTCTATGCATTAAAGTATATTTAGTAAGTCAGCCTAACTTCTTTAGCTGCTAACAAAGAATTATACCAAAGGCCCTCTGGGAACTTACTGAAAAAGTGATCATTATAAATGCTGAATAATTTGTGGCCACATAAGTCCTTCCTTGTTGTGATTCTGCTGCACAACATGGACTTGCAGAATTTCACTTCATCCTGGCTAGCATCCTCTTACTCCAGACCCACAGACCCTTACCACTTAAATTTAGTGACACTTTCCATTAGCTGCTAGCAGTACAGAGCCTCTGATACATAGTCTTGATTTTATCTTATAGAGAGCTGTGCCACATACAACTAGCCAGGATTTCACAAGGTAGTTAAAGGAAAAGTGCAACGACTAACTGTAAGCTTTGAGATCGTGAATTACTTTACTAAGAACAACCCCTGATACAAAGTATTTGTCTAACTTTGAGGGCAATGAGAGTGAAAGGAAAGTCTCTGCTCATTTCACTCTCTCCACAATACGGCGTGTTCTCTCCACAAGAGCTGCCATGTAATCCAGTGGCTAGTCTTCGCCCACATAGCAGGGCAGAGAATTGAGGTCCGGTCTGAATGAACCCAAGAGCAGGAACTCTCCATGCCGCTGGCGTATATGTTCTGTTGTTTTTATTATACACCCTTTTGGTAACTATAACATCTCTCCCATGCCACTCATCTCCAGAGAGGGAGCCACACCAAAATTAACAAATACTTAACAATGGGATTCCTCTTCCAACATGCACAGCAGACACGCAGCATCACCCCAAACCTACAAATCCTCCCTCCCCCCCGCCCCAGCAGCTCTGTTATTAACAGACCTTAGGAAATTGAGTAAAGAGTATGCACAGTACCACCCCTATGTTAGCACCAACAGCTAGAGCCAGAGTTAACTGGAAAACGCGGAGCAGATACAAACAGGGAAACTGCCATGGTGGATGCATCCCAACTCCAAATCTATGGTGTAGCTTTAACTGTGTCCTTACCCTGAATTTCCAACCCACCAATGAATGGGGCATCAGCTGAAAAAGAACACATGAGCGGTAGGAATGCAGAAATACTCACGACTTGTCTCTTCTGCACACACGTCTCTGAGGACTGCCTTGCCTTCGGCGAGGGGACAGTGACTTGCCCCGTGATCTCTCTTTGATTGGAGAATGGGCACTTGCTGGTTTCAGAATCTGGAAAGAGGTGGGGAAGAGAGGCAGTGAATAAAGATATCTAGTCATCATTATCTAAAAATTTAAAGATCCCGTGATAGCACTGGAGACACAGAGTGTAAGTCCGTTAAAGTCAGCTGGATTCTCAGCAACCCGTCCCTTGACCATTCAGACATCTGGGAAGAGTTTCTGTAGGGTGATTGTTTTCATCAGCATTACGTTCACACCAGTTTTTATTCTAAGGATCTGATCTTTTAGAGATAGCATGTGCATTATTACAACCAATGAATAGCCCCAGGGAAGTCCAGGGGTGAAATCCTGATCCCCCTGCAAAAAATCAATGGGAATTTTGCCATTGATTTCAATGTGACTTTGATTTCACTGAATGAGATTACTCACATGTGCAAGATATGCATGTGCTGAAGTCTTCACAGGACCAGGGCCTTGAAATTGCAACATTCTCAAGATAAGGACTTTGTCTTTTCCATCTTCTGCACGAGGCTGGGCCCAACGTGTATACATAGTAAAAATAATCTTTACTTGCCTACTTGATTAGAATGCACTTCAGATACCAGCATTCTGTCTGGTACTAAACAGGTAACAGAAGGCTGAAATCATTCTAATTCCATATGCAATTAAATGTATTACACTAAAATTAGAATATAACTTAAGCCTAAAGCTTTCATACCATTGTAGAGCTTGATTTTTCTCTCATTTAGCTTCATTTTTACATTAATTCTACCAACTCCTCATTTACCCCAGGATGATAGAGAGAGGAATTAGACCCATTATTCTCTGTCTAAAAAACCCATAAGGATTAGACAGCTTTTAAAAATTGGGCAAAATATAGTGGGCCACAGTTCCTCAGCGGGCATAATCAGAGTCGTTCCATTGTGGCAATTTACACCAGCTGAGTGTCCAGCCCTCAGTTCCTTTGGTGAAAGGGTGAAAGAACAACAATGCAAATGCTGTTCCATTTCTCCCTGTGGCACACTGAGCCATCACCGTGGGACTGCCTTCCATGCAGCAGTTCATCTCGTCCCAAGTTGGAAGATGAACACTAGAAAGCTTTGGGGTGTGCTATAGGAGCACAGGATGACCCTTGTTTTCCACATCTGGAGACCATGGGGAACACTCTTCTCAGTTACATCAGTGTAGATCCAGAAGAGTCAGTGAGTTCCTCCAAATTTACATCTGTGGAACTGAGCAGCATATGGCTCCCTAGTTGGTTTGGTCCAGCATGGAAATCAATCTGGTGTTTCTTCCTGCATTTGGGTCTGATGGACACTAGGCAAATGACTCATTGTCAACAATGTTTATCATCCATCCACCTTCTCGACAACCTTCTGTTTAACACATAAGTTGGAGTTGATGGAAACAAATCTTTTCCTCGCCATCACAGGAAGTATATGAAAAACCACAGTCTGTCGATAGAGGGAGGGAAAACAGTGGGGCCTCAACTACAATGTTCTCAACTATCTGAGAAAACCCACTGGCAACATTTCCCTTGTGGATTTGGACTTTTGTTGGTGCACAGCATAGGCCACCAGAGTGTGGAAGAGCAGGGTGCTGCAGGTTGTTGCGGGTCCACTGGCAAAGCTGTACAGGGGAGCTTTTGTGTCACCTGAAAATTGTTGACACCCACACAGGTAGCCCCTTACTTGTATAACCTCTACATCGCTCAAGTTAAAACCTCCAGAAACATAGCTGTGGCCTAATTGTTACGAATTCTCCCCCTTTGTTACATAAAGGAGCTTCATTGGAATTTTTCAGCAGTTACATGTTTGCACATGGTGGGAGCAGCCCCCCCCCCCCCCCCCCCCGTCCACCCCCTC